CCAGGAGCGGCCAGAACAACTCCGTCTTTACCCTGTATGAACTGACTAATGGGGAAGACACAGAGGATGAGGGTAATGCCTTTCACTCCCCACCCCAATTTGTTTTTTGTTTTTTAGTTTAGTTTTGTTTTGTTTTTGTTTTTCTGAGATGGAGTCTTGCTCTGTCACCCAGGCTGGAGTGCAATGGCATGATCTGAGCTCACTGCAACCTCTGCCTTCTGGGTTCAAGCAATTCTCCTGCCTCAGCTTTCTGAGTAGCTAGGATTACAGGTGCACACCAGCATGCCTGACTAATTTTCTGTATTTATAGTAGAGATGGGGTTTCATCATGTTGACCAGGCTGGTCTCAAACTCCTGACCTCATGATCCACCCACCTCAGCCTCCCAAAGTGCTGGGATTACAGGCATGAAACACCATGCTCCGCCTATTTTTTTCTTTCTTTCTTTCTTTCTTTTTTGAGAAAGACTCACTCTTTCACCCAGGCTGGAGTGCAGTGGCACGATCTTTGCTCACTGCAAAACCTCCGCCTCCCAGGTTCAAGTGAGTCTTATGCCTCAGCCTCCCCAAGTAGCTCAGATTATAGTTGCACAGTACCATTCCCAGCCAAGTTTTGCTTTTTTTTGGTAGAGATATGATTTCACCATGTTGGCCAGGCTAGTCTTGAACTCTTGACCTTAGGTGATCCGCCCGCCCTGGCTTCCCAAAGTACTGGGATTACAGGCATGAGCCACTGCACCTGGCCACCTCCTACTTTTTTTTTTTTTGAGATGGAGTCTTACTCTGTCACCAGGCTGGAGTGCAGTGGCGAGATCTCAGCTCACTGCAACCTCCACCTCTTCAGTTCAAGTGATTCTCATGCCTCAGTCTCCCCAGTAGCTGGGGTGACAGACACGCCCCACCCATACCCAGCTAATTTTTGTATTTTTAGTAGAGTAGAGATGGGGTTACCATGTTGGCCAGGCTCGTCTCAAATTCCTGACCTCATGTTCTGCCTGACTCGGCCTCCCAAAGTGCTGGGATCACAGGTGTGAACCACTGTGCCTGGCCACCCCCTACTTTTGTCATGTGAATTCTCTTCTCTCCTATTTTGGTTTAATTGATATTCAGACTTCCGATTTCTCTGTCTCTGAATTCCAAGTACTATAATATAAAAGTTCTTAACCCATGTCCAAGGATTCTATAAGCCACCTGAATTCATATGCAAAAAAACCCAGATTTTGTTTTTGTGGGTGCATGTGCATTTTTCTAGGGATAGATAGATATTACGAGATTTCCAAGGACATCTGTGACCCATGAAAAGTTAAGAATTTCACTTTCAGCTGGGCACAGTGGCTCATGCCTGTAATCCTAGCACTTTGGGAGGCTAAGGCAGGAGGATTGCTTGAGGCCAGGAGTTTGAGACCAGCCTGGGCAACATAGGGAGATCTGTCTCTACAAAAAATTTAAAAATCAGCTAGGCATAGTGGTGTATACCAGTAATCCCAGCTACTCAGAAGGTTTAGGTGGGAGGATTGCTTGAGCCCAGGAGGTCAAGGTGCAGTGAGCTATGATCATGCCACTGAACTCCAGCCTGGGTGACAGAGTAAGACTGTCTCAAAATATAATAGGCTGGGCACAGTGGCTCAGCCTGTAATCCCAGCACTTTGGGATGCTGAGGTGGGTGGATCACTTGAGGTCAGGTGTTCCAGACCAGCCTGGCCAACATGGTGAAACCTCGTCTCTACTAAAAATACAAAAATTAGCCAGGCGTGGTGGCACATGCTTGTAATCCCAGCTACTTGGGAGGCTGCAGCAGGAGGATCGCTTGAATTCAGGAGACAGAGGTTGTAGTAGCTGAGATCATACCACTGCACTTCATCCTGGATGACAGAGTGAGACTCTGTCTCAGAAAATAATAATATTAAAATATTATAAATAAACTTTCTTTATTCAGCATCTGTTGTAGATGCCAAATGAGGAACAAGGGCAAGGGATTAAGCTTGAAATCTCATTCCTTGCTGACTCAGGCGCTCTTTCACCCTTTATTCTTATAGAGGGCTCAAGATTTGTGGGCTTCAGCTGAAGAGATTGGGCCAACACCCCCAGCCCCACCCCCAGTCCATTTAAATTTGTTGGTTCCTGGCCAGGCAAGGATTTGTAAAGTGTTGGATTTTTACACAGTATAAACACTCTTAGTTCTTTTTTCTGTGACTCCATGTTCTGATCTTCTGGATCACTACAGGTTTCAATCTTAGCTGGGATAGCAGGGGGTGTCTCCTCTTTCTGGCTGCCCTAGCAGAGCTTACATCTCTTCCCCCTCCTGTCCTGCAGGTCTCTGCTTGCTACTCCCACCATCACCCCATGATTTCAGCACTGTAGCCTTGCCCAGCCCACCACTCAGGCTGGGCAAAGTTGGAAGCTTCCTCAGAAAGCAAGCTCCCTGACTTAGCTGAGCCCCCGCAGGGGGTGAGGTAAGCAAGCCTGTTAGGGCTTGCTCGCTGCCTCCCACATCTCCCTGCAGTGTCTTACCATATCTCCACATACTCAGCTGGTCATTGGCTCCCAGCGTGTTTTTTTTTTTTTTTTTTTTTTTTTTGAGACGAAGTCTTGCTCTGTCACCCAGGCTGGAGTGCAGTTGCGCGATCTCGGCTTACTGCAACCTCCACCTCCTGGGTTCAAGTAATTATCCTGCCTCAATCTTCTGAGTAGCTGGGATTACAGGCATGCGCCACCATGCCCAACTAATTTTTTGTATTTTTATTAGAGACAGGGTTTCGCCATGTTGGCCAGGCTGATCTGGAACTCCTGATCTCAAGTGATCTGCCTGCCTTAGCCTCCCAAAGTTCTGGAATTGCAGGTGTGAGCCACTGCACCTGGCCCGGGCTCCCAGCTTTTTAACTAGAAACAGGCAGATATCAGTCAGTGCTGGAGTTTAACAGTCTCCTGGCCAAGGGTACTGGCTATACTCTTTGTGTTATGATAGATCCTCCCATTTGTACAGATGAATATCTAGGGTCAGTGTCTAGTGACAATGGCTCTGACCTCCCTAGGTCTGATTTCCAGGGCCCCTTTGTGGCCCAAAAGCAGATGGTGTCATTCATGTGCATCAGACACACATGGAGGTGTGCGGCAGGTTGAGTCTGAGAGGAGAAGCAGGAAGGGGGAAATAAGCGCAAACTCATTTCATGCTGACTCAGGCTTTCTTCCACCCCTTACTCCTAAGGAGTGCTTGGGAAGTGTGGGTGGCTGCTGGAGCAGTATAGATGGCATATGCATACCCTGTCTCTGGGAGGTCTCTGCTTCCAGCCAGACCGCTCTCCTCAGTGGGCTTGGGCCCCAAGAAGCTGATTGTCCCTGATTGCCCATCTCTCTCTGTCCAGAGTTCCATGGACTGGATGAGGCAACTCTACTTCGGGCTCTGCAGGCCCTACAGCAGGAGCACAAGGCCGAGATCATCACCGTCAGCGATGGCCGAGGCGTCAAGTTCTTCTAGCAGAGATCTATCTCCCTTTACTTCTTACCTCCCACCTTTCCAGTGCTTTCAAAAGGAAACAGACCCAGCATCCCCCAAAGACTGGATCTGTGACTCCACCAGACTCAAAAGGGCTCCAGTCCTGAAGGCTGGGACCTGGGGATGGGTTTCTCACACCCCCATCCCTCGGATAGGGTGAGGCCGAAGCACCAGGGAGAAAAGATGTGCTTCTTCTTGCCCTACCTCCTCTCCCATCCTAGCCTGTCCCTGAGCCAGGGTCTGTAAACCTAACACTTTATATTTGTCCACACATGTAAGTACATACACACATGAGCCTGCAGCACATGCTTCTGTCCCCTCCTCTTTCCACCCCTTTAGCTGCTGTTGCCTCCCTTCTCAGGCAGGTGCTGGATCCTTCCTAGGGGATGGGGGAAGCCCTGGCTGCAGGCAGCCTTCCAGGCATTATGAAGATAGGAGACCCATGGGCCTGGCAGTGAGAGGTGTGGCCCAACACTGATTTCTGATATTAAAATCTCCGCTCCCACTGCCTGCCTCTTAAATTACTACAGTACTGGAATGGGGATGAGGCAGGCTGTGAAGTGTTACCATCCGAGTAAATCCCAGCCAAGGAGAGGAGAGAGAAGAAAGCCTATGGCTTTTGTAGAAGAAAAGGTCCTCCAGGGCTCTGTGTGCTCCAGTGAGCCTGTGGTTTTACATCTGCTGGGTGGGCTGTGTGGAGGAGTGCTGATGGAACACAGCTTGGGGACACACTGCTTTCTCTCTTAATTGGAGTCACTTAAGGGCTCCCCCTTCCCTCACCATCTCTCCCATGGAAGTCCTGAACTACTCTGAAGCCCCTCCCTCCACCCATCTGGTCTGGGTGGGGTCACTGTGGACCAGGGGAGCTGAGGGGGTAAGCCGGATGTGGACTTTGGTTTATTGGAGACTTTGGCAAACAGAAGGGGAGGAAGGAGAGCCCACATAGCAAAAACAGCCACTCTGGCCAGGGCCAGGCCGCGGCCAAGGTGGCCTGGAGGGGATGGATGACCGACCAGGCTCTCGGTTTAGGGGAGGGACTTATCCTGGGGAGCACACACCCATCCCTATGCAGACTAGAGGGACAACGACGTCGGATCTTTCCACTGACCTCTGTATGGTCGGCCTGGGGCTACTCCGGACGGTTCGGAGGGGGTGGTGCTGCTCTATCTGAGGTGTGTAGACCGGTGGTAGTCTCCCTCTAAGTAACCCCCTACTAGAGCCCGGGAGCCGCAGGCACCTTTCCTCTCCTGTCCGGGTGTCGTCTCCCCCCTCAACTCCCCCTGCCCCCCAACCCCCGCGCACAAACAGGTTTGCGCACTCTTAGTGCGGGAGGACACAACGCGGTCTCGGACTGAGACTGCGGCCGGGGGCCGGGGAGGCTCGGAAGATAAGGGGAAGCTGCTGGGTGGGGCGGTGACTAAGGTGAGGGGGTGTTCATCCACACTGCCCGAGCCACTCGGAGGGGTGGCCCTGGGGGGCAAGGGCGGGCCGCGGGGAGGGGCGGGGCGGGGGCGGGGCCGGGCCGAGCCAGGGGCTGGGGCCCCAGCTGCTCAGCCCGAGCGCTGCGCACCCAGCGGGTCCGCTTGTCAGGCTGCCGCCTCTCTGACCGTCTGGCTTTCCGCCCTTCGACGCTCTGCCCTTCCTCATGTTGGCACCCCCGGCCACGGAGACCGCCGTCCCAATGTCCCAGACTGAGGCCGACCTGGCCCTCCGGCCCCCGCAGCCTCTTGCCTCCACGGGGCCGCCCCGCCCCGGGCCCCATCCCCGCCGAGCTCGGCGCTTCTCCGGGAAGGCAGAGCCCCGGCCGCGCTCTTCTCGTCTCAGCCGCCGTAGCTCAGTCGACTTGGGGCTGCTGAGCTCTTGGTCCCTGCCAGCCTCACCCTCTCCGGAACCCCCCGATCCTCCGGATTCCGATGGTCCTGGCCCCACGAGGAGCCCACCGCCTGGCTCCAAAGAACCCTCTGAGGGCACGTGGGCCAAGGGAGCCCCTGTGAAGGCTGCAGACTCCTCGCGTCCCGAGCTCCCAGACTCTGCAGTGGGTCCGGGGTCCAGGGAGCCGTTGAGGGTCCCTGAAGCTGTGGCCCTAGAACGACGGCGGGAGCAGGAAGAAAAGGAGGACATGGAGACCCAGGCTGTGGCAACGTCCCCCGACGGTCGATACCTCAAGTTTGACATCGAGATTGGACGTGGCTCCTTCAAGACCGTGTATCGAGGGCTAGACACCGACACCACAGTGGAGGTGGCCTGGTGCGAGCTGCAGGTGCGGCTGGGCGCCCCCTCGGTGGCACCTTGGGATGGGACTCTGGAGGTCTTAGGATGAGAGACAGAGGGTGGGGGAGACAGCATCAAGGGAAGGATGTATTTTTCCAATCAAATGTCCAGACACCTCTGCTGTCTTTGCCCTGAATGATCTGGCTGACTCTGGCTGCAGGAGAAACTGAGGCAGGTGGTGTCTGGTTACTCTCCCATGGGCATAAACATTCTCACTTTAAAGTCTCCATACTCAACCCTGAGAGGTGGAAGATAGGATAGGAAGTTGGGTTGGGGAGCCAATTCAGGTCAGTTTCCTGCTAGTGGGTGTCCACAATCCCTTCCTCTCCCCTAAGTCCTGAGATCCTCAGTTATGACCCTGGTCCTCTTGATCCCCTCACTCCTCCCCATCCCCCACCTATTTGCAGACCAGGAGGTTGGGAGACGGGAAGCCAGAAGCTGGGCAAGGGTCCTCTCCAACTCCAGAAGATTTAGGGAAGTTGTAGCAGAATGGGGTCCCCTAGTCCCTTCTGGAGCAGTCAGACTTCTGGACCTCTCCACAGCTGCGAGGAGGGGGACATAGGGAGACCCAGCTCTCGAATAAGTGCAGTTCTGATCCTCATCCCACTGCCTACCTGTGCCCTCCCTTCCCAGACCTAAAGGCACTAAGCCCATGGGCTTCAGGAGGACCTTCCTCCCGTTGCTCCCATGCTACATGTGGATTAGGAGAACCCAGTCAACTTGGGGACCGAAGCTTCGGATTCAGATCGGGGGACAAAGCCTAAGGGAAGGGTCCCTCTCTGGTCCTGGAACAGGGCTCGCCCCTTGTGCCTGCCAGTGCCGCGCCCCAGGCTCTAGGCCAGGCCAGGAGAGGCAGCCAAACTGGGGGGTGAGAGGAGGGAGAGGAGTCGGGGCGGGATAACTATGGGGGGGGTGGCTTCCTGGCGCCTAGTCCTGGATCTTTTCTTTCTTTCTCTGTGCCTCCCTCCACAGCCCTCCCGCCTTCAGTCTGGATCTAGCAGTTCCCGGTTTCTGGGGCCAACCCCCTTGCCGGCCCCAATTCCCTGCCAGCGGTCTCCTGCTGCCCGCCTGCTGCCTGCTCTCTGCCATCCCCCGGGCGCCCCCTCCCGCCCCATGGCCGGTCTGGGCAGCCACAAAGGCACTATTGAGCTCAGGGCTCCCGGATGGGGCTGCATAAAGGCGCTTGTGTCCAGCAGGGGGTCTAGGGGGCTGCCCCAGGCCCAGGTTGGTTGTGTCCTTGGAACAGCTTACATGGGTACTGTTGGAGAGTTCTGGGTCTGCAGCCCATTGGGCGAGTGATCCCACTAATCCCACCCCATCTGTGGGAACCAACCCTCACCTCTTCCCCAACCCCGCTGCAGGTGTCCCTCTTCCTTTCCATGGGTGTCCTGGCCTGACATGACACCCGTACCCCATCCCACAGACTCGGAAACTGTCTAGAGCCGAGCGGCAGCGCTTCTCAGAGGAGGTGGAGATGCTCAAGGGGCTGCAGCACCCCAACATCGTCCGCTTCTACGATTCGTGGAAGTCGGTGCTGAGGGGCCAGGTTTGCATCGTGCTGGTCACCGAACTCATGACCTCGGGCACGCTCAAGACGTGAGCTCTGCGCATGAGTGGGTGGGGAGAGGGAGGCTGGGATGTGTGCCCACTGCTTCCTGAACTCCCAGGTTCCTCAAACTGTCTATATCCAGGTGTAACCAGGCTCGCCATCTCCCCTTACCCAACCGTGTCCCTCCCTTGGTGAGTGGCTATATCCACCTAGCACTCCAGTCAGAAACTTGGATGTCTCCCCAGACTCCTCTCTCTCCATTCTGCCCCCTCATCAGTCTGTCTCCACGTCTCTCCTTAACCTCTCCCTACCTGGCTTTCACTGCTCCATCCACGCCACCACCTCGATGCCACCTTGCTGATCTGGAGCCCTGCAGCAGCCCCCTAAAGGGTCTTCTCAAATTCTGCCACCCTCTAAGTGATCCTATCTTCCTGCAGCCTGGAGGATCTTTCCCAGTCGGAAATCTGAACTGTCACTCCCCTCCTTAAAACCCCTTCAAGTTTTCTCATGGCCTCGGGATAAAACCCACACGGGCTCATCTGCTCACACTGGCCACGCTCAAGCGTGCCTCCTTTGCCAAGCTTAGGATACAGCCCCACTTTCAGCCTAAGTTCTAGACACACTGAATTCCTGGGACCTCCTCCCACTCTGCCCTGCCCTGGCTTTTTCCGTGCCTTTGAGCATGGTGTCCTGTCTGCCTGGAAAATCTCCATCCCTTCTCCCTTTCACCTTTGAGCTTCTGCTCATCATTCAAGATGCAATACAAAAGTATTTCCTCTTTGAAGCCCTCCCTCATGCTCGGGGCAGTTAGACATCTCTTCCTGCACTCCCAAAGCACCTCCGCCGAAGCCCTATCTATTTACCTCCCAACCCGTTTGGTAACATCATGTCTATCCACCACATCCCCTGACTCAGTTTCTCCCTGGGGCCGAGCAGACATAGGCTAGGAGAATGCTGGCAGAAGATGAGGAGGCGGCAGCAAGGTGCCGCAGGGGGAGCTTCCCAGTGGAGGGCTCTTCCCCCGAGGACATGTCCCCCACCGACCCTGGCTATGCTCCCTCCCCCAGGTACCTGAGGCGGTTTCGGGAGATGAAACCGAGAGTCCTTCAGCGCTGGAGCCGCCAAATCCTTCGGGGGCTTCATTTCCTACACTCCCGGGTTCCTCCCATCCTGCACCGGGACCTCAAGTGCGACAATGTCTTTATCACGGGCCCTACTGGCTCTGTCAAAATCGGGGACCTGGGCCTGGCCACACTCAAGCGCGCCTCCTTTGCCAAGAGTGTCATCGGTGGGTCTCTCCAGGAAGGTCCTTCCTCCCCCCACCTCTGAAGAGAACCTGGGGACTCCCTCCCCTCAGCAAGGCCCTTCAAGGTCCACAGAATTACCAGACCACAGGGAAGCTGGGGAGATCTATGGCATCCCCCCTCAACCCCACTGTGGGCTGGGGTCACTTGTATGTGCAGGGTTGCCCAGGGCTTCCTAGCCCAAGGGGCAGGACAATGCCAGAGTGCCCAGCAACCTGATCCCTGCTGTGAACCCTACAGGGACCCCGGAATTCATGGCCCCTGAGATGTATGAGGAAAAGTATGATGAGGCCGTGGACGTGTATGCATTTGGCATGTGCATGCTGGAGATGGCCACCTCTGAGTACCCGTACTCCGAGTGCCAGAATGCCGCGCAAATCTACCGCAAGGTCACTTCGGTGAGAGGGATGGGGTTGGCAGGAATGGGAATTCCAGGTCCACTTCCCATTTTCCTGCCCGGCCAGCCCACAGTCAATGCCCTTTGCCTGCACGGAAACGGGCTAGACACAGAGATGCCTTGGTGAACCCAGAAAGATGTACATGCTATTTAGAATAATAATGTGTGCGGTGCTCCCGAGAGTTCACAGTTTCTCATCCAGTCTCACATCCAATCCTTCCAGCTGCCCGGCGAGGTGAGCAGGGCAAATGTTCCTCCCTGCAATTTACAGATGAACAAACAGTGGGAGACTTGTTCAAGGTCACACTGTAAATACTTGGGTTGGTTGGGGGGACTGGGATTTGAAATCAAATCTTGCAGTAGCAGTCAGGCTTTTGCAGCTGCACGTGCAGCTGCCTAAGGCAAGAGTGGAGTAAAGGGTGGGGGGTGTGAAGCTGAGAGCTGGAGGGTCAGAGGATGGGAGGTGTCATGCAACCCCTCCCCCCAGGGCACAAAGCCGAACAGCTTCTACAAGGTGAAGATACCCGAGGTGAAGGAGATCATTGAAGGCTGCATACGCACGGATAAGAACGAGAGGTGCGGGTGAAAGGGCAGAGCATGGGTAGAGTAGGGGCCCGGGCCGCGGTGGGCTCGGCTCACCCCCGCCTCACCCTCAGGTTCACCATCCAGGACCTCCTGGCCCACGCCTTCTTCCGTGAGGAGCGCGGTGTGCACGTGGAACTAGCGGAGGAGGACGACGGCGAGAAGCCAGGCCTCAAGCTCTGGCTGCGCATGGAGGACTCGCGGCGTGGCGGGCGCCCACGGGACAACCAGGCCATCGAGTTCCTGTTCCAGCTGGGCCGGGACGTGGCCGAGGAGGTGGCACAGGAGATGGTGAGCGGAGGACAGACTGTACTGCCACTGGGCGTGTAAAGGGCGTTGACCAGAGGGGATAGTGCGACAGGGATGGGTGCAGGAGGGGTGGCAGCGATGGGGGTAGGCCACATCCCCGCTCTCAAGATCTCCTGCAGCGTCTCCATGCCTCTCCAGCCCTAACTCACGCGCATGCACACCCAGTTTTCCTTTACAAGAGGGGGCCTAGGGTCCTCCAGCGTCGCTGCTTTACTTCCAGCTGTTCTTCCTAGAATGCCCTTCTTGCCAATTTATCTTTTCCCTCTTTCCTCCCTCCCTCTTGTTCTTTTTCTTTTTCTTCCAACATGATCAGAACCATCGATTTTGGGAAGCCGTCCCCTCTGGAGTCCAACTTAAATGCTCCTTTCCACTTCAGCAGGTTCTTGGTTACAGCACTCATCACCATGGGTCCTGTCTTAAACCTGAATAAGTTCCTGCCTTTCTTCTCCACTTCTCCCTGAGGACAGACTGTGTTTTATTGATTCTTCTGTCCCTGGCAATGCTTGGCACATAGTAAGAACTCATTCATAGCCCATATCTGTACATGGCTTAAAGCACTTTTGCCGGGCACAGTGGCTCACACCTGTAATCCCTGCACTTTGGGAGGCTGAGGTGGGCGAATCACCTGAGGTCAGGAGTTTGAGACCAGCCTGGCCAACGTGATAAAACCCTGTCTCTACTAAAAATACAAAAAATTAGTTGGGCATGGTGGCATGCACCTGGAATCCTAGCTACTCAGAGGCTGAGGCAGGAGAATTGCTTGAACCTAGGAAGCGGAGGCTGCCGTGAGCCGAGATCACGCCACTGCACTCCAGCCTGGTCAACAAGAGCAAAACTCCAACTAAAAAACAACAACCATTTTCACATGCATTTGAGCTTTGCTACCCATCCTGCATACGGAGCAGTTTTATGTCAACTTATTGATGAGGAAATGGAAATTCAGAGAGGTTGAATACCTTGTCCAGAGCCTCAAGTAAGGAAGTGGAACAGCTGGATTGAAACTGAGGTGGTTCAGATTTTAAATCAGGTTACCCTGCTCCACCTCCTTTACTCACACATCAAAGCTTGTGGCTAAAAGGAATGAGGAGGTGATGAATGGAAGCTGGTAGAAGAGAAGAGGGGTGAGATGCAAGGGCAGAGGCTTGGGGGTGGCTTAGGAAGTCCTGAAAGGACTATGGGATTTTTGGGGGAGTGATGGAGTCTCGCTGTCACTCAGGCTGGAGTGCAATGGCACTATCTCAACTCATGGCAACCTCTGCCTCCTGGGTTCAAGCGATTCTCCTGCCTCAGCCTCCCGAGTAGCTGGGATTACAGGCACAAGCCACAATGCCAAGCTAATTCTTGTATTTTTAGTAGAGACAGAGTTTCACCATGCTGGCCAGGCTGGTCTCAAACTCCTGACCTCAAGTGATCCACTTGTGTTGTCCTCCCAAAGTTCTGGGATTACAGGTGTGAGCCACTGTGCCCAGCCCCAAGTATGGGATTTTTTTTTTTTTTTTTTTTTTTTTTTTGAGACAGGGTTTCACCACGTTAGCCAGGCTGGTCTCGAACTCCTGACCTCAGGTAATCTACCCGCCTCAGCCTCCCAAAGTGCTGGGATTACAGGTGCGAGCCACTGCGCCCAGCCCCAAGTATGGGATTTCTAATACAGAGATGACACTTGCAAGGGTGGAGACCACCTATGGTGGGTCAAGAACCTCAGAATGTGTTAGAAATTTAGAGTAAGTCTCCATAGCACTGGCCAACCTGACCTGAGATCAAATCTGATCCATCGCTGACAAGGGATTCTTGGCCTTGGCACTGTTGACATCTTTGTTTTAGGGACTGTCCTGTGCATTGTAGGATGTTGAAAAGAACCCCTGGCTTCTACTCACTAGATTCAGTAACACCTACCCTCCAGTTCTGACAACTAAAAATGTCTCTAGATATTGCCAAATGTCTCTTCTCCCCATTGGAAACCACTGACTTACTGTATGACTATGAACCAGCCACTTCGTTAATCTCTAAAATGGGACAGTAAGATTTATCCCACAAGGTTGTTGGATCTAGTGATGATAACGTAAGGAGCTACTAGTTAGCAGACATAATGGGTAAACAGGAAGTGTTGGTTTCCTTCCTCTCATATTCTGGAGGTCCCAAGAAGCGATCTGATGGATCTTTGAGGGGGGGACCCAAGCTGTGTTCCTCACCCCCACCCCAACTCCAGGTGGCTCTGGGCTTGGTCTGTGAAGCCGATTACCAGCCAGTGGCCCGTGCAGTACGAGAACGGGTTGCCGCCATCCAGCGAAAGCGTGAGAAGCTGCGTAAAGCTAGGGAACTGGAGACACTCCCACCGGAGCCAGGACCTCCACCAGCAACTGTGCCCATGGCTCCCCATCCCCACAGTGTCTTCCCTGCTGAGCCTGAGGAGCCAGAGGCAGACCAGCACCAGCCTTTCCTTTTCCGCCACGCCAGCTACTCATCTACCACCTGTAAGTCACCTCTGATCTTGAGACGTAGGTCCCAAAACACCTTGGCCTCTGCCCCCAACCCAGAAATTCACCCCCTGCAGCAGTCACTTACCCTGCCTTCCACCTGTAGCCACGAAGCTCCCTCCTGGAAGGAACTCTCCCACAGCTCCAGGCCCCCCTTGCTTAGGCAAGCCCCTTCTTCTCTCCCTCCCTTTTACCCCTTTTTTTGATCCCTTCCCTCCCTCACCAGCGGATTGCGAGACTGATGGCTACCTCAGCTCGTCCGGCTTCCTGGATGCCTCAGACCCTGCCCTTCAGCCCCCTAGGGGGGTGCCATCCAGCCCAGCTGAGTCCCATCTCTGCCTGCCCTCGGTGAGAGGGGGTCACATGGGGGGCTCCCAGCCATTCCAAGCCTATGACCTACTTCCCTTCTTGAGAAACCCAATCTCATGATCCAGCCTGATGTCCCTGGGAATCCACCACTCTTGTCCTCCTCTTCCCTAATTCCATCCAATTCTGTAATATCCTCCCAGCATCCTTGGTGACATCTCCCTAGATCACAACAGTTATCTTCCTGACCTCATGAACCCTCATCCTGTTTCAGGCTTTTGCCCTATCTATTCCACGTTCTGGCCCTGGAAGTGACTTTTCCCCTGGGGACAGGTATGTTCTAGGGTAAGTTGGGGTGCCAGGATGAGACACATGGGTCACTAGGGTCCCAGTGTCTGCTCAGGCACTCATTCTATGTCCTTTCCCTTTTCCAGCTATGCCTCAGATGCAGCATCAGGCCTTAGCGATGTGGGAGAAGGGATGGCACAAACGAGGAGACCCCCAGGGAGGAATCTCCGGCGCAGACCCCGATCCCGGCTTCGGGTCACTAATGTAAGGAAGGGGCACAGGAGATGGAGAGTAACCTACAGGGTCAGGAGGGAAGTGTCAACAGGATGTGGGGGAGGTCAACCAGAAAAGGGGAGAAGCAGTGTGTGACTGGTACTCAAGAGGCAGCCAATCTAGTTTTTAATACCAGACTTTAGGGTTTGGGTCTACTTATCTCCAAGTCTAATCTGGCTACTGTCACTTGGCTGGGGTAGGGTGGAGACACAGCATGATGACAGAGGGCTTGACCTCTTCCCCTCTGCTGACTTTGAATCTGAAGGTCTCAGACCAGAATGACAGAGTGGTTGAGTGCCAGCTACAGACCCACAACAGCAAGATGGTGACCTTCCGATTTGATCTGGATGGGGACAGCCCAGAAGAGATCGCAGCTGCCATGGTGAGGGGGAGAGAGATGAGGACAGAGTGTTTGGATCTGGAACAAGAGTCTCCCTCCTGATGTCCGCTGGGGCTGAAACCCACTGATCCGAGAGCAAGGGTTTTTTTTTTTTTTTTTTTTTGACATGGAGTCTCCATGTCCCCCAGGCTGGGGTGCAATGGCGCAATCTTGGCTCACTGCAATCTCTGCATCCTGGGTTCTAGCAATTCTCCTGTCAGCCTCCCAAATAGCTGGGATTACAGGCGCCCACCATCACGTCCAGCTAATTTTTGTATTTTTCAGTAGAGACGAGGTTTCACTATGTTGGTCAAGCTGGAATTGAACTCCTGACCTCAGATGATCCACCTACCTCAGCCTCCCAAAGTGCTGGGATAACAGGCATGAGCCACCACGCCCGGCGACAGCAAGGGTTTTTAAAGCACTGGTTGACACTTAACACAGTGATACTGAGGACGTCTCAGCCCTTGTTTTTGGGGAGACTTCTGTTTATCCAGTGAGGTCTGGCTTCTCAGCTGGAGCAATTTGACTCACATTGACCAGGTGCACACAAGTGCTATGTGTTAAGTGTCTGGTAGATGTGCAATACTGTGGCTGTAGGGAAGGATGGGCTGGACAGCAGGGACAGTGGGCTTACCCAGGATCTTGGTGGATGGGCGAGAAAGACCATGAAGGGTGGAAAGGCTGTAAAGGACATCCCTATGTAGGGACAGCATAAGCAAAGGCATTCCAAGTAGAGAACGACTTGGAATATGGGGCTGGGAGGGCTTCATGAGGAAACCACTATCATTGGAAGTAAAGATTCCTATAGGAGAACTGTGGGAAGTGAAGCTGGGTAGGTAGCGTGGGCCCAGATTACAGGATAGACAGTGTTAAGAGAGGCCGAGTGGGCTGGGTCCAGACGCTCACACCTGTAATCCCAGCACTCTGGGAGGATGAAGTAGGAGGATCACTTGAGCCCAGGAGTTTAAGACCACTCTGAGAAACATAGCCGAGACCCTATCTCTACAAAAAAATTTTAAAATTAGCCATGTGTGGTGGCACATGCCTGTAGTCCCAACTGCTTGGGAGGCTCATTTGAGCCTGAGAGGTCAAGACTGCAGTGAGCTGTGATCACGCCACTGCACTCCAGCCTGGGAGACAGAGTGAGACTTTGCACCAAAAAAAAAAAAAAAAAGGCAGAGTGTAACATGGTGACAGTAGGCTTTGTGAAGACCATCTGCCATGGGATGTGGAAGGGGGTTAGAGAAGCGAAAATAACTGGGAGCTCGGCCCAGGGAGCCACATGTGGACAAAGAAGAGGGTGGCTTATGGGAGGGAAGAGGAGAAAGGGTGAATCTGAGGGTTGTTTCGGGAAAATTACTCTGTAATCCAGTAGCTTATTGATGTAATACAGTAGTACCTAGTACACAGTAGATGCTCAATAAATATTTGCTGAGTTGATATGATAGGGAGTTGGGGAGAAGGGAGATCAAGGACAACTTGTAGGCCACCAAAGGAGAGAGGAAGTTAGAAAGGAAAGGTTTTTTTTAAGGAGCCTTGATGAGCTGCAGTGAAGAAGGAAAAGCCAAGACCAAGATCCTCGCAAGCCATGGGAAATGGGTCAGCAGGGCTGGAGAGAGGTGGATTAAGGAGTGGTCAGTACAGAGTTGAGAGTGAAGGGAGATGAGCCTGCAAAGCCAGAGACATAGAGGGCTGGCGAGTGTGTCTCAGTGCATACCATCCATTCCGGAATGGGAAGCGGGAGGGTAGGTCATGGAAGGACACAGAGATGAAGCCAGAGAGGTAGGAGGATGTTAGTAAAAACTGAGTGAGGAGAGAGTTTCATGGAGGTGGTGTTACAGTGAATCCTCAGGGAAGCCACACTGGCTTTTGTTAGAAGATCTTTGTGGGAGACCAGTTTCAGTGGAGTAGGGGAGGTGGATGCCGCCCCTGGGGTGAAGGAGGGGAGAGAGTGGGAGAAACGAAAGGCATCAGGAGCCCTCTCTAAAGCTTCTCCATCATGGCATTCCCCTTGTATCCAGGACAAAGACACAATCTCACCTGGCACACAAGGCTCATCACCTCCTGTCAAACCACTTGACCCTTTCAGAGTCTTCCCTCCAGCCATACTGGTTTCAGAATGGTCCTCTGAAGAGGCTGGGTGTGTTCCTGCCTCTGCCTTTATCTACTGAAGGGTCTCTCACCCTGAGAGCCTTCTGTATTGGGCCTCAAGCCCCTTCTGATCCCGCACAGCCAAAGCGACCCCACTCCATACACCCACAGCCCTTTCCCCTCTTTTCTCTCCTTACTCAGTCCACCCTCCACGCCTCTGCAGCAGAGTTCTCCTGAGACTTGGATCTGATCTGTTGATTTGTCACCCCAAATTCTTTAGTGACTACTTGTGGTTCTAGAGTAAGGTCCAAATTCCAAAGTATGGCCTTTAAAATTCACAGCACACTCAGCTACACTTGAGTCCTCACTATGTTAAGAATAGGCCGTACCAGGTGTGGTGGCTCATGCCTATAATCCTGGCACTTTGGGAGGCTGAGTCGGGCGTATCACCTGAGGTCAGGAGTTTGAGACCAGCCTGACCAACATGAAGAAACCCTGTCTCTAGTAAAAAATACAAAATAAGCTGGCCATGGCAGCGCATGCCTGTAATCCTAGCTACTCAGGAGGCTGAGGCAGGAGAATCACTTGAATTCGGGAGGTGGAGGTTGTGGTGAGCCAAGATCATGCCATTGCACTCCAGCCTGGGCAACCAGAGTGAAACTCTGTCTCAAAAAAAAAAAAAAAAAAAAAAAAAAAATAGGCCAGGCTTGGTGGCTCATGCTTATAATTCCAGCACTTTGGGAGGCTGAGGCAGGTGGATCACTTGAAGTCAGGAGTGTGAGACCAGCCTGGTCAACATGGTGAAGACTTCTCTCTACTAAAAATATAAAAATTTAGGTAGATGTGGGTTTAAACCCTGTGACCTTAGGCAGACTGAACTTAACCTCTTTGAGCATTGGTTATCTTAATTCTACCACAGCAATTCTTTTGTCTTTTTGTTTTTCTCCTTTTTGTGGAGAATGGTGTCTTGCTATATCGCCTAGGCTGGTCTCGAACTCCTGGGCTCAAGCTATCCTCCCGCCTCTGCCTCCCGAAGAGTTGGGATTGCAGGCATGAGCCACAGCGCCCAGCACCACAGCAATGTTAATATAGACCCCAGAAAGTTGGTGGTGTTAAACGTGATAATATATGCAAAGTATCTGGTATATACATGCATCCTAAGAATGTTAGAACCTTTCATTCTAGGCTGTATTTCTCCTTACACCACACAGTGCCTGGAACACAATAGGTATTTGCTTGTTTTAGGTTGCTGGTTGGCAGAAGCAGTAAAAAGTTTATTTATTTATTTATTTTGAGATGAAATCTCACTCAGCTGCCCAGGCTAGAATGCAGTGATGTGATCTCTGTTCACTGCAACCCCTGCTTCCTGGGTTCAAGAGATTCTCCTGCCTCAGCCTCCCCAGTAACTGGGACTACAGGCGTCTGGCGTCATGCCCAGCTCATTTTTGTATTTTAGTAGAGACAGGGTTTCTACTAAAGGTTGGCCTTTAGCAGTGCTAGGATTACAGCTGTGAGCCATTGGGCCTTGCCTGATTTTTTATTAGAAGCAGGGGGAGTGGGATGAGTGCGATAACAAACTCTACCCCCGCATCCTATTGACCCTCACCAGGTGTATAATGAGTTCATTCTGCCCTCGGAGCGAGACGGATTTCTCAGACGGATTCGGGAGATTATCCAGAGAGTGGAGACCCTGTTGAAGAGAGACACTGGCCCCGTGGAGGCTGCTGAAGACACCCTATGCACCCAGGTCAGACCCCTCTGGACACTTCCAGGGGAAATGGACTCTCTGCTTCAGGGTTCATTACTTTCTGCCTTCAGCAGTCCCCTTGGATCTAACTCCTCCTCATCTATCGGGCCCTAAAACAGTGGCCCTTACCCCATTTGAGAATATGATGAAAGCCATGGACTCTTGTTCTAGAAAACTTGTTCAATGCATACTTTTAACTCATTATTTTGAAATAATTTCAGACTTGTGGAGAGAAGTTGCAAGAGTTGTACAAAGAACCCCTGGATACCCTCTGCCCAGATTTGCCAATTGTGTTTTGCCACCTTAGCATTATCATTCTGTCTTCCTCTCCCCTCTCTGTATGTGTGCACACATCATTATATTTTTCTGAACCACTTGAGAGTAAGTTGCAGACATTATGCCCTTTTACCGCTAAATTTCAGCACATATGCTGCTGAATCCCTTGAAACTCATGTGTGGACTCCTAGAGGTTCATGGGTCCTAGCTTAGGAACCCTGGTCTGAAACCTCCCATCTCAGACTGCTGTTCCCGACTGTGACTGTGGACTTCTTTCTCTGCCTCAGGAGGAGCCAGCACCATTACCTGCCCTGCCCGTCCCCCTCCCAGACTCATCCAACGGTATGTACTGTTCTGCCCTTGCTCAACCTAACCCTTGGGGTTGCTCCTGGGAAAGGTATAGGACATGTGGGACTGTCATCTCAACATACCTTTCTTCCCAGCAGAGCCCCAGAGCAGCAACTCCCTGGAGCACAGGAGCTGGGCAGGCTTCTCTACCTCCTCATCTTCTGGAACTCCATTGTCTCCTGGAACCCCTGTTTCCCCAGGTCCCATCTTCCCCATCACTTCTCCCCTATGTCATCCCAGCCCCTCCCCATTCTCCCCCATTTCTTCCCAGGTCTCAAATCCCGTTCCCCATCCCCCCTACTCTCCACTTCCATTCTCCAGTGCACCCGAGTTTCCAGTCCCACCCTCTCAGTTTCCCCAGAGTTCTCTCCCGAGTTCTCCACCTGCATTCTCTCCCAGTTGTTCTCAGGTCACTCTTAGTCCCCATTTTGTTCCCCTGTGCCCCTCCACTTCTTCCCTCCCCTCCACCACAGCAGCCCCTCTCCTCTCTCTGGCTAGTGCCTTCTCACTGGCTGTGATGACTGTGGCCCAGTCCCTGCTGTCCCCCTCGCCCGGGCTCCTTTCCCAGTCTCCTCCAGCCCCTCCTAGTCCCCTCCCTAGCCTGCCACTTCCCCCTCCCCTTGCTCCTTGTGGCCAGGAGAGCCCTTCACCCCACACAGCTGAGGTGGCGAGTGAGGTGAGTAGAAAACAAAGAGGGATGATTAGGGAGACTCCATTCTACACTTTTCCCTTCTCATGGACCCACACTTTCTAGGCCTTGCCAACTCCTGCTCGGCCCCTCCCAGGTGAAGCCAGGCTGGCACCCATCTCTGAAGGTGAGGCCTCTGACCACTGACTTTCCCCCGCCATCATCCCTACTTGCTGTCTATCGTGTCACTGACTGCTCTCCTTTCCTCATGCCTTCCTCCTCGTCACCCTACAGAGGGAAAGCCACAGCTTGTTGGGCGTTTCCAAGTGACTTCATCCAAGGAACCGGCTGAGCCTCTTCCCCTGCAGCCAGCATCCCCCACTCTCTCCGGTTCTCCGAAACCTTCAACCCCTCAGCTCACTTCAGAGAGCTCAGATACAGAGGACAGTGCTGGAGGCGGGCCAGAGACCAGGGAAGCTCTGGCTGAGAGTGACCGTGCAGCTGAGGGTCTGGGGGCTGGAGCTGAGGAAGAAGGAGATGATGGGAAGGAACTCCAAGGTGGGGGCAGCCCCCCACCCCTGAGCCAACCCAGCCCTGTGTGGATGAACTACTCCTACAGCAGCCTATGTCTGAGCAGCGAGGAGTCAGAAAGCAGCGGGGAAGATGAAGAGTTCTGGGCTGAGCTGCAGAGTCTTCGACAGAAGTGAGTTTGGGGAGGATGGAGGAGCAAGAGGTGAACCTGGGAGAGCGAGGGGTGTGGCTAGCCCTTTCATGCCTTCCGTGCATCCTCAGGCACTTATCAGAGGTGGAAACACTACAGACACTACAGAAAAAGGAAATTGAAGACTTATACAGCCGACTGGGGAAGCAGCCTCCTCCGGGTATTGTGGCCCCAGCTGCTATGCTGTCCAGCCGCCAGCGCCGCCTCTCCAAGGGCAGCTTCCCCACCTCCCGCCGCAACAGCCTACAGCGCTCTGAGCCCCCAGGCCCTGGTGAGACTGCAGTCACCCAGCTTCCATCTTTTCCCTGAGACCCCTTCCTATCCACTGTTTTTTCCAGGCCCTGGGGGTCTGCCCCGGGGGACTAGCCCCCCTCTCCCCACCTCCCTTTTCCTCACTTACTGCTCTCCCTCCCCCATCCTGCTCCCAGGCATCATGCGAAGGAACTCCCTGAGTGGCAGCAGCACCGGCTCCCAGGAGCACCGGGCAAGCAAGGGGGTGACATTCGCCGGGGATGTTGGCAGGATGGTGAGGGCGGGCCCAAGGGAGGGAGAGCCCAGGGAATGGTACCTGGCTGCAACTTTGCTTTCTTCCCACCTTGGAGGTTTCTCCATCACTTTTTCTTTTCCCTCCAGTGAATTCAGAACAGAAGCCATGTATCTCCCTCACACCAGGGCCCACCATGGAGCCTGTGTTCTCAGAATCTGATGCTTTTCTGACCAACACAACTGAGCAAGGAAGATCCCAGCACTGAGCGGGTAGAAGGCCAGGGGGGCATGGAGAGTGCAGCTCCATTATAGTGAAGAGCCAAACATATGTGAACTGTTTGCTGTGTGGAGGTGTCAGTTCTGCAGCCTACCATCTTCATCTACCCCCTCTCCTGCCAAGAGTCAACCACTAAGCAATCCCACCCAATCCCAGATGCTTCTAAAGGGGCCTACTCCCAGCTGGGGGAGTGCAGGGGATATGCTCACACCACATTAGCAGCAGCCAATAAAAATGGTGGAAACAAGGACGTTGTGGATCCATATGCCATGCCTTAGGAATTGTGGGGGGGCAAAGCCCTGTGGGGTGAAGCAGGGGAGGATTTAAAAGGGACTCTCTTTTCACAATGGGAGGCAGGGGTGGAAGCTGCCCAGCCCTCTGGTTCCTGCCATCAGTTAATGAGGAAACTGCAAAGTCAGTGATCCACTTGACCAAGTTAGGATCCCCTCCAGATCCCACCGTAGACCTGTACAGGCAGGTACCAGGGAAAGTTAAAAGAATGAAGGCTGCTTGTCTTTCACCATTCATCCACCTCTCTCTCTCTCTCCCTCTCTCTGATGATGGGAAAAACAGTAGAGTTACAGTATGTTCTTGTGGGTAGAGGGCAGAAGAGTGACCTTTCTTCCCCTAAGACGTGGGTTCAGTCTCAAAACAGCCCAGTGATCTCTCCCTTAAATCAGGTGGAAAGATCTCATGGAAAAAGTAATTCTAGTTAAACATTTACAGCTCCCTGGGGCAATGCCACCACTGCAGCAACCACCTGTGAAGCTTTCCAGCATGAAGTGCCATATGCTGCCTCACAGCCTCCACATTCACATGACTCCAGGAGAGATGATTCAGTTTATTATTCTCAACCTGACCCTATCTATCCCACTGTAGACTCCAACACTGCACAGAGCTGCCATGCCTAACCCCATTAACAGTTGCATCCCTGGAAGGTGAAGGGGGTAAGCCATAAAGAAACTGTGGGAAAAGCCAAGGTCAAACGCACACTTCTCAAGGAAACAAACTACAAGAAAGGGCTCAGTCACTGTACACAGCAAATGTGCTGTGGGCAAAGTTCTGTTCTTTTGACAGTGGCCAAATGCATAACTCCCTGGTTTCTTGAGCTCAAGCATGGTCCAAGGTTAGTAAGGGTCATGGGGCATCATTCACCACGTGAAAGGGTTCCTGCAGGTTGGAGATGTCCAATATGCATCCATACTAGGATCCTGACGCCCTTGCCTGAGCTCGGGCTCGAGCAGCTTTGGCCTCTTCTTCTAGCTCATCTAGGAAACGCTCCTGGGAAATCGAGTAAAAGGTGTAACCATCTGGGATGGTAGGTTCAGGAAACCACGTGGAATATGTACATTCCCCTTTCCTAAATTTGCTCTACCACTCTTGTTACTCTCCCAAATCAGTGATTCCAGCTTCCCGCCCGCTGCTCTTTCTAAGCCCTGAACTCCAATTCCGTTATTATTAATAAATCAAGTTAAAAGAGCACCTTAGGAATAACAAGGGAAGCTACTAATCCCATTATACCCAAAAGTTAAACGGGTGGTTTGGCCTTCCTGCACATTCTGTTCCCCTGCCCCTATATACGGTCCCCTGGAGTCTACAACACGGGCGGATACAAATAGCTAACGCCAGGGCCCCGATGCCTAGGCCGGTCACGATGTTCCGGGTCCGCCGCTGTGGTAGAGCCTTCTGCCACTGGGCAAGCTGCATCTGCCGCATGAAATGCAGTTGCTCAGTTGTCAGCTTCTCCCGAGTCGGGTCGATACGCTGAGCGAGCTGGGCCTCTCCACGCTTAGCATCCAGAGGGTCACCACCGCCCGAAGCCCCCATGTTGCCGCTCCTCCTTTTGCGCAGAAGCCGCGTGGGGCTCGCTGGGAACCGTAGTCCTTGGCCGCTGCAGTGGACGCTGGGAGTTGTAGTCCGCGTGCCCTTTTCCCGGGCAGAGCCAAGGTTCCCGGGCACGCGAGATGGACGCGAGAGGTGAGAAGTGGACGTGCTTTCTGATTGGCTGAGGAGTCCGCGGCCGTTGGGGCGGGAAAAAACTGTGGAGGGTTTGAGGCTGTGGTGGGAATTGAGTTTTCCTCAGACTTGAGGCAAGGACACACTCACTGGAAGGGGACGAGGAATCCAGGGTGTGGTGGAAGACTGGAGAGGAGCTAAGGGGGTCGGTATATGGATCCAGTGGACCGTCCAGGTGACCCAAGAGGCTCGTGAACATGGACGGACCCATGAGGCCAAGATTGGCCTCCCTCGTTGACTTTCAGTTTGGAGTTGTTGCCACAGAGATGATTGAAGACGCCCTGCTTCACTTGGCCCAGCAGAATGAGCAAGCAGTGCGGGAGGCCGCGGGGCGGCTGGGCACCTTCAGGGAGCCCCGGATCGTGGGTGTGGCTTCAGGGCCGGGGAGCTGGGTTCATGGGAGACTGGGGCATGTGTCATTCAGGCGCTGACCTTAAGATTCCGTTGATTTTATTCGTTCAGAAAATGTTTGGTGGCCGGGCATGGTGGCTCACGCCTGTAATCCCAGCACTTTGGGAGGCCAAGGCGGGCGGATCACCTGAGGCTGGGAGTTCAAGCCCAACCTGACCAACATGGTGAAACCCCGGATATAGTGATGGACAAGACACAACAGTGCCCTCCCCTTGATTTCTTTGACGTGTATGGAGTACTTACTAATGGCATTGCCTGGATAAAAAGATGAAATAGAGGGTCGGGCGTGGTGGCCCACACATGTAATGCCACGCACTTAGGGAGGCTGAGGCAGGTGGATCACTTGAGGGCAGGGGTTAAAGACCAGCCTGGCCAATATGGTGAAATCCCGTCTCTACTAAAAAAAATACAAAAATTAGCTGGGCGTGGTGGTGTGCACCTGCAATCCCCTCTACTAGGGAGGCTGAGACAGGTGAATCACTTGAACCCAGGAGGCAGAGGTTGCAGTGACCCAAGATCGTGATCGTGCCCTTGCACTTCAGCCTGGGCAACAAGAGTGAAACGCTGTCTCAAAAAAAAAAAAAAAAAAAGAAAGTTGAAAAAGAGAGGCCTTGCCTTCAAACCATGTGCAATTTGGGGAAGATATTAGGACAAATACACAATGACTAGGTACTATGTTAGATAAGTGACATCAAAGAGAGAGAGAGAGAGAAAAAAAAAACAAGTGTTTATGGGGATTGAGTGGAGCAATGGGGTCACAGGAAGAATTCAGGGGATGGCCCAGGCATTGGAACTGATCAGGCAGACCTTGAAGGAAGGATGACATTGGGTTGGTGAAGGGGGAGGAAGGAGACAACGTTTCTACCAAAAAGGGGTAGCATGAGTAAAGCTATGGAAATGGGGTGCTTGGGGTGCTTAGGGTGCATGTGGGTACAGTAGTCCACGTTGGCCAGTGTGGAAGAGTAGTTGATATTAAGACCAGAAAAGTAGTTTGGAGACATTACATGTGGAAGTCTGAATGCCAAGGGGAAGAGTTTATGCTTGCTTTAGTAGGAAACCAACAAAATATTTTTTTTTTTTTTTTTTTTTTTTTTTGAGACGGAGTTTCGCTCTTGTTCTGCAGGCTGGAGTGCAATGGCGCGATCTCGGCTCACCGCAACCTCCGCCTCCTGGGTCCAGGCAATTCTCCTGCCTCAGCCTCCTGAGTAGCTGGGATTACAGGCATGCGCCACCATGCCCAGCTAATTTTTGTATTTTTAGTAGAGACGGGGTTCCACCATGTTGACCAGGATGGTCTCGATCTCTTGACCTCGTGATCCACCCGCCTCGGCCTCCCAAAGTGCTGGGATTACAGGCGTGAGCCACCGCGCCCGGCCAAACCAACAAAATATTGAAGGTTTTTAAATAAGGAGTGATATGACAGTAACCCTGCCTTAGTAAGCATTATTTTGGCAGTGATATAAAGGAGGTAAAGGATGGATTCAACCAGAGGGAGATGGAGGTAGGCAGACAGGTAGAGTCAATGTCTTTAGGCTAGGTGATAGGGCAGAGGGAATGACAAGGGAGAGTGGATTAAAAACATTCCAGAGGCAAAGTCTAGGGTTCTGCCTTGGATAAATTTAAGAAATGAAGGAGGAAAAGGTGACTATGCCAAACGGTTGAACCTAAGAGACTGGGAGTATAGTGGTTATTAAAAGAAATACATAGGCTGGGTGTGGTGGCTCACACCTGTAATCCCAGCACTTTGGGAGGCCAAGGCGGGTGGCTCACTTGAGGTCAGGAGTTCAAGACCAGCCTGGCCAACATGGTGAAACCTGTCTCTATTAAAAATACAAAAATTAGCCAGGCTTGGTGGCGGGCGCCTGTAGTTCCAGCTACTCAAGAGGCTGAGGCAGGAGAATCGCTTGAACCTGGTAGGTGGAGGTTGCAGTGAGCCAAGATTGCACCACTGCACTCCAGCCTAGTCAACAGAGTGAAACTCTTGTCTAAGAAAGAAAAGAAGGAAGGAAGGAAGGAAGGAAGGAAAGAAGGGAAGAAAGAAAGAAGAAAGAAAGAAAAGAAAGAAAGAAAGAAAGAAAGAAAGAGAGAGAGAGAGAAAGAGAAAGAGAGAGAGAGAAAGAAAGAAAAGAAAGAAAGAAAGAGAAAGAAAGAAAAGGAAGGAAGGAAAGAAAAGAAAAAGAAACACACAGACACACTACACAAATAAAGCAGGAGGAAAAGTGACTGTTGTTCGGGAAAGATAATAATAGCTTTTTGGAGTCTGGCCAACATGGTGAAACTCCATCTCTACTAAAAATGCAAAAATTAGCCAGGTGCAGTGTCAGAAGAATCGCTTGAACCCAGGAGGTGGAGATTGCAGTGAGCCAAGATCGTGCCATTGCACTCCTGCCTGGATGACAGAGTGAGACCTTGTCTCAAAAAATATACATAATAGTTTTGGTTTGGGATCTGCTGAGTTTAAGGTGTTTGCAGAACATCTAAAGGAAGTGTTCTTGTAGACTATTCAAAAAGTAGGTCAGAAGAGAGGTCAGAAATGGAGATAAAAGTTTTCAAGTTATCTTCACAATGATATTGTTGAAACTGTGGCAGAGGATGAGCTCCTAGAAGGAGAAGAGAAAAAAGCAGGTCAAGGACAGTTCCTTGGGTAACACTTTGTGTTTGGGGGATTGGAATAAGAAGAAGACTTATGAAAGAAAAGGAGGAGATAGGAACAGAACAAAAGGGACTTTTGGAAGCCAAAAGGAGACTTTGAAAAGGATGATGGTCAGCAGTTTCAGATGCTTTAGGGATATCAACAGAACTAAAGACTTCAAGAAGCCAT